GGGAATCCAATCAGCGACCTCTCGCAGTAGGTAGACCCGTCTGCTAGGGTCCGTGGCCGAGTCCCGCAGTATTCGACGCACCCGTGGTCGACGCCCCCGGTCAGTGAAATTTGATTTGAAGCAATTTTTAATTATATGTACAGTCAGGCACAAAAATGTTTATAAACGAACTAGTTGTGCCCGCGTCGTCCCTATCTATAAACCCACGAAGTTTGTCTACCCTTCCGCCAAACACTCTGTATAATAACAATTAAATAACCAGTTTTTAACCCTTAAGTAACATCCTTATTTTTGGTTACACTTTGAACACCCTGGGGCAAAAAATTACCCCAAACGGAAATTGAAAATTTTTAATTAAATATTTCAAATCAATTTAATTTTGTGATTTACAATGTATTAATGGACTCACTGAATTATACGATTGCTTTAAAAGAACGTCTATCTAGCGTAAAGAAACACCTTAAATCAATCATAACAAAAAACAAATAATTTGTCATTGGCAACCAATAGTCTCCACAATGGTCTTCTAGAAAAATCTTTAAAAGTTATTGTGGGAACCAAAAACTTACACTAATTGGACATTAAATAGATGTTTTATGCATATTTTAAACACAAAATGAAATAAAACGAAAATTTCTGGCTTTATAATAAAGTAAAATAAAAAAACTTATTTTTTTATAAAATTATTACAAAAATATTTTGTATTTATTTTATTCCTATTTATTTTTTTCAAAACACATCAGACACCCTGAATTACTACGTAATTATTACATTTGAGCCCTATTTCTGTGTCGAATTTAGTTAGTTAGTTAGTTAGTTTTGCAGGGCAATCGAATACCGCACTTAGCCTCATGATAGGGCCATTGTGCGCGATTTGTGGTTTATCTTCCTACTCCAACCACCCCAGATCCCCCCAGAAGGCGAGCAGCCCGTCCAGGCTGCTGCAAGCTTCCTGTAGCGACGACGGTGATCGAAGAAATTGAGCCCGTTGTTCTTCCACGCTACTGCACTCCATGAGCACATGCTGCGGTGTTTCCTCTGCCTCCATGCACCCCCTGCACAGTGGGCTGTCTGTGACACCTATGTTGTATAGGTGCTTGTTTAGCATACAGTGTCCTGTTATGACACTTAAAACCTTGCGGATGCTGTCCCTGTTTAGTCTGATGAGGCTGCGGGAGAACTTTTTCGATACGTCCGGAACCGCATCTTTTGTTTGCCTGCATCCTTCGCTATTTTTCCATTCTGTGTGGTGTTTTTCTTCTGTTTTGGAACGCAGCCAGTTCCTGATCTGTGCTTGTGGTATCGGCAGTATTGGTTCCGGGCCAAATACTGTTGTGTCCGAACCTCTTTTTGCCAGTTCATCCGCTGCGTCGTTGCCTAAAGAGTTACTGTGCCCTTTGATCCATTGTAGGGTAACTCCATTTACAGCTGCAATGTCTTGGAGCGCTTCATGGCATTCCAATATAAGGAACATGTAAGACAAAAATAAAATTTCCAATATTACAGACCTTCTAGAGCAGATTCTGCGAAAACTATACAATTTATAGAAAAACTTGTCCATCTCATCTGTAGCAAATTGAATATGCTTTTTTTGGTTTAAAGTAGTCATGTCACTAGGACGCATAGTTTCCGAGGATTAAGCGAAAAACCGAAAAGTGGCACCTTTAAACCCCCCTCTCCCCGTCGGCTCAAGGGCTAAGGGCGGGGACTTTTGCTATGTTCACCTCCTAACTAGTCTAAATAAAGTCCTGAAGTCAGAAATTGTGTTCTACAGTTTTCCATCTATAATGCTTTATTGACTGGACTAGTAAGTTTGTCAGTAGGTAATGACTTAAGTCAAATTTAATTTAACTAGCTTGCATCGGCTAAGTAAAACAACGTCTTTTTTAACTGATCTACTAGATAATAATATATTTTACTTGTATGATAATTATTGTCAATTAGTATTCTTTTAGAATTTAGATAAATTAAACCCAGAAATCTTGAACTTCGCTCAAAGTTATTCATTGCCCTAATACTGCATCAGGTGCAATCGTGTGAGCGTCAAAAAAAGTTATGGGAGAAAGGTTGCTCCTTTTTTCAAAAGATGGCATCAGATAAAAAAAAACTCGATAGTTCCGAGTACTCATTATCCATGTTGGCTCCTCCAGAAGCCTGCTTCTGCTGCTCCTCGCGTCAGGGTCGCGGGCGGACTTGTTCTCCAAGGCCACCAGGACCAAGGCCGACGAGCGGGACCTGCGGAACAGCGTGTTCGACTTCATCATCGTCGGCGGCGGCACTGCTGGCTGCGTGCTCGCTAACAGGCTGTCAGCTGCGCACGATTGGAAGGTAGAATCATAGGCAAATGGCCTATTATAGGGCTGAAAGTTGCACAAGATTCACCAAACCACCGCCACAGTTACACTTTTCAGGAATTATGACCTAATTATTATGTATCTTATGGTATATTTTGCTCTGAACGTTGCAACAAGATTATTTACCAAACCGCCAGTCAAGACGGAGTCTGTTTCAGATTTCCTAATTTATCTTAGCTGCTTTAGGCACAATAATACTAATAATAACAAAATAATAAAAGAATAATCTTACTATTACTATGTCAATACAATTCTGAATTGAAAAAAAAAACAAAAGGGTTCTTAAATTCCATTTCAGTTCCATGAGGAAAATTTTGAATCTGTTTTATTTATAAACATTATGGATACCTATTGGCCGTCTTTCTGAGCACGATACCGATACAAAATAGTTAATCATGATTCCATCTGTCTAACAAACCAGGTCCTCCTCATCGAGGCAGGGGACGAGGAAAACGTAGACTACGACATCCCAGGAGTTCCGACCAAAGACTACCGGCCTATACTCTGGAACTACCGCACCGAGAGGAACGGGTTCTCCTGCCTGTCGCGACCTGGAGGCAGTTGCGAGGTCCGGACTGGGAAGGTGCTTGGAGGGTCCAGCGTGACCAACGACATGAAGTATACGAGAGGACATAAAGTGGACTATGATGGGTGGCATAGCGCAGGTTTGTTTAACAGATAATTTGCAATTCAATGCAGAATAAAAGATAAGTTTTTTGTTGCAAAATAGCACCTATTATAACTACTCAAGATGCTACAGTATTAAATTTAGCTTATTGTTTAGGTTCAAAATTTAGGTAGGTGCCATTAATGGAACCTTACCAAAATAACAATACTATTATGGTGCGCAGGCACCATATTGTCATTGTATTCTATTGATGCAGACTTTAACTTACATTAATACGTGCAAAAGGTATGACTAATTTTTGAATAAAATAATTCCTATTTACTTTTAGGGGCATTGGGATCACTGGACTGGAAGTTTGGCAATTTGATAGACTATTTTAAAGCTTCAGAAGATAATGGTGAGTTACTAAAGACAACACACGAACAAGACACAGCAATAAGAATTCAGGAATATAAACCAGACACGCCATTTCAATAAAATTGAAATCGTACAGCACTGAGTTAAAATCACTTTGGAACTCGCCAGTAAAGTAACAACAAACGGGTCATCATTTGATGTAAGTAAAATACACAATCCAAATATAGGTATTACATAAGAACGCTTTTCAGCTATACATACATTATTATAATACAGTTGCACAACATTATTTACTCAGCAATAATGTCAAAATAGAAAAATTATTCGTCGTTTTTTTGTTCAAGGTGACTACGACACACTAGTAAACTCATTATACCACGCGAGGGGAGGCGAAATGCGAGTACAGAGGTTTAAAAACATCGACAGATACACGGAAGTGTTCACCACTGCGTTCTCAGAAATGGGCCTTCGTACCGTCGACATAAACACCAATGCCGCAGAAGCTATTGTCAATCACCAATTTGCCATGGCCAATAACACAAGACTCAGCACTAACAGTGCATTCCTCAAGCCAGTTAAGCATAGAAAAAACTTAACAATCATGACCGGAGCAACGGTCACTAAAATCATGATTGACAAGCAAGAAAAAACTGTCGACGGTGTAATGTACGAATTCGAGAAAGGTAAAGAGAAGCCTGCTTATGCAAAACGTGAAACAATTCTCACTACTGGAGCCTTCAACAACGTTAAGCTTTTACACTTGTCTGGCATTGGACCAAAAGCAGAATTGAAAAAACATAACATAACGACTATTGTTGATCTTCCCGTCGGTTTAAATTATCAAGACCAAGTCAGTACTGGTGGTCTGTCGTTTACCATAAATGATATCGCGCCAGTCAGTGAAAGTCAAGTTATCAATGATTTTAAGACGTGGTTTCAAAATCGTAACGGCCCTTTAGCTTCCAGAGGTGTCGGTCAGGTCTCAGCCTTTTTACAACTATATGAAAGTGTCAATGCCCCTGACGTGGAAACTTCATCAGAAGTGATAAATTTATGCTGACAAACATAAGTGTGCACGCAGCGGAAGAAACGAACCTTCCTTTGCCCTATTACAATTTAGTAAATATATACCCAATATTACTAAGACCGAAGAGCAAAGGCAAAGTGATGCTGAACAAACGAAATCCGAATTATGGTAGACCGATAATACAAGCAAATCTTCTGAAGGAAACGGAAGATTTAGATACTTTAGTTGATAGCATAGACATAGCGTTGCAGTTGTTACAGACTAAGGAAATGAAAAGAGCTGAAATAAAATTAGCACCGCTCGACGTGTTTCCGTGTGACAGGCTAGCTAATAGAGATCAGTGGAACTGTATCACGAGACATTATACTAAAGCTGTAGGTAACCCTATAGGGACATGCCGAATGGGAGAAAATGCTACGGATTCTGTGGTAGATTTCAACCTAAGAGTTCATGGTGTAGAGCGACTGAGGATAGTAGATGCTTCAGTGATGCCCACGCATGTACGAGGAGGAATCTTTGCACCAACAATGATGATTGCCGAGAAAGCCTCCAAAATGATACTTAAAGACTGGAAGGAAAGCAATGGTTTATACAATGATAGGTGACGATAATTATTATAAATAAAATATCTAAGTCAGTACCATGTTGTTTTTATTATATCACTAGCTTTTTCTGCAATCATGATGACGGGTGCAGCAGTAGACCCTCTTGTTAATTTTGGCATGATTGATGCGTCGGCCACTCGAAGATTTGTAGATCCATACACCTTCAAGGTATTATCCACAACCGATTCCGGATCTTTAGGTGGACCCATTTTGCAAGTTCCGGCATAGTTATGTAAAGGGGTAGAAAAATGCCTGATGATGCAAGACCAAAATTCCTCGGAAACTCTTTCGTGGTTTTTGCAGTCGTTATTCAGTATAGGTCGCGGGTCAAATTCAAATTCAGCAGTCTTGAAAACTTCCGTATCAAACAATTTCACTACTTCTTGTATACCCTCCAACAGTTTCTTCTCATCTGAGGGATCTTTCAGAAAGTTTGGGTAGATGAGTGGTTTTCCAAAAATAGGGTCAGTTGCGTTCAGTACTACTTGACCTCGACTTTTAGGAGTTAGCAGAGATAAACACATGTCAATCTTATCGTAGTACATGTTGGAATTGTGTCCTTTAAATCTTACTTCTATGTCTGGCGTGCCTAGAATTTCCGATAGGTTAGTTTCAATAAAAGCCACAACTTGAAAGTTAGCTGATAACGGACCGATTCCTTTTGAGTAATAAGTTGTAATGTCTTTTAGTTTTTCTGGAAACTTGCACATCGTCGATGTTTTTGCCAGCTTTATAACTGGCAAGCACACAGATAAGTGATCTTGGAAGTTTGCTCCGATTGGCAAATCATACACGGCCTTGATATTTAAATATTCTAAGTATTCCTTAGGACCTATTCCCGACTGCATTAGCAACTTGGGCGAGTTAATTGCGCCTGCCGTTAAAATAACTTCTTTAGACGCTCTTATGGTAACTTTTGTTCCATTTTTAATATACACTACTCCTAATGCTTTAATAGCTTCTCTATGTTCTTCAAAAATAATCTTAGTAACTAAAGCTTCTGTTATTATATCTAAATTAGACCTTAACTTTCTTATAGGCTCAAGGAATGCTGTGTACGCGCTGACTCTCTCGCCAAAATATGACATTGTTTGTATTCTCATGAAACCAAGCTGGTTTCTTCCATTTACATCAGTGTAGTTGTAACCTAATTCATTAAAAGCGCTTAAAAGTACATCAACATTGTCGTCAACATAAGGATATCTCCCGACGTCTAAAGGTCCTTGCGTTGAGTGAAAGAATTTGTTTTTGTAAATGTCCTTGTCATAATTTCCTTCAGAATATTTGAAGTAGGGCAGCACGGAAGCGAAGCTCCATCCGTCGTTGCCATTGAGAGCCCACTCATCGTAGTCAGCTGGGCTTCCTCTCATGTACGCCATGTCATTGATAGTCGACGTCCCCCCGAGGACCCTGCCCTGTACTACTTCACATCCTTTTTCCAGACGATTCTGGCAGAATCTGAAAAATAAAACTGCACAGTAAATGACAAATACTGCCGATTGCGTGGCGCCGACGGATGGTACACTCACCCCTTCTTAGGCCGCATTCCGTACTGCCAGTCGAGGGATGAGTCCTTAAACTCGCTGGTGAGACTTGGGATGAGCGCGATCTTCGGCTCCTCAGGGCCGGCTTCTATCAGCAAAACCTGAAAAGATGTGCGTAGAATAACTGATTAGTTCCACGCATCTATCTACACTGCTATTATGCATGCCACATTCATATTATTATGCAATACGAGTATTTAGCGTGACTGTAATTTTCAATTAACTAAACATTAGAAAACTATTCCCATAATTCGGAAGGGACTTGCTATAAAAAAAACTGGTGACTAATACTTTGGAAGATATCCAACACTTTTCATTGTGTACATTCTTACGTTCATCGGAATTTATTGTACTAGTATAATTAGAACAATTGAGCCGTCTGCTCTAGTAGTTAGTAGTCCTAACTTTAACTATAAAATTTATGTAAATGAACCTAAAGTAAGTAGAGCTTGTAGATAGATAAACATTAATTACGTACATCCTTCACAATTATTTACTCATTTCGTTTCACACAATATTTTGGTAGTGTCAAGAAATATTATTGGTACGCTTATCAGTTTACCACGGCGACAGAAGAATTAAGAATTCAATCTGATTGTTCTATGCCTTATTGCTTATGGCAGGTAAATTTTAATTTAATAATAATGAACTTTGTACCTTCCATTTCCTATTCTCCGACAGTCTGCTGGCGACCACGCAGCCCGCCGTCCCTCCACCCACCACGATGAAGTCGTATTCCACAGCAGTGTCATTGTCGCCGTCTTGAACCCGCGCCTCCTCCCTCTGCGCCTTGTCGAAGTACGCGAACGGCCGGTACTTCGGGATGACATACTCCTCGCTGCCTATATTTGGCGTATCCTTATCCGCAGAACTTAACAACTTGTCCTTATTCTGCCCAAAGTAGTCCGGCTCAGGACCAATGTGACCATACAATGTATGGACCAGGGATATGAGCAGTATCGCCGTGGGAGCGCACTCGATTCGGCCGTCACATATCTTGCAGAGATCATCAGTTACATTGGCTGATGTCATTGCATCTTTTGAAGCTTCTTCATCCGCGTCGTTGATAGCATTCAATCCATCGATTTGAATTTAATTTTCTTTTTCAATCGAATGACCTTTACTTTTTATGGATTAACGTCTGTTTTTACTGACTTTGCTAAACAAGGAATACGATTTTCCTGTAGTTGATTTGATTTGATTATAATTATTGTAGATAAATGTTTACACCTGCTCGGAATGTCAACCTGCCGGTCCGCCGTGTCACACTGCGGCGCGCACACTTCGTGATCGACGAAAGAATTTATTGTTTACAGTGATTGTTTTTGTTTACAATGCCACATTGTTTGCGTTTCCAGGAGTTACTTATTATAGCGGGAACGGAATACTGGGTATTTAGACATGGGTATTACCGTTTTACAGTCAGTGATAAAATTGTAACAATCAGTAATTGAATAGCGAAGGAAATGGCTACTTTGTAGATTGCTTACTTATGCCAGCTACAGTTGATAAGCGACAACGATAAATGGCTTTGTAATGTATAAAATAATGAACAAATAAATTATTCATACTACTTACCTTGGCACCAAAACCTATTACAATCCAATTTTATTACAATCCAGTGTAGCAAGCAAAGCAAAGTTGCTATAATTTTCCCCGACTAGTATTCGAACCCGTAACTGCAGAGCGTTGTAGCACAGAATACATAATGTTGTACAGCACACCGTGGCTTTATTTACTTTGGCAATTTTTTTAATGAGTTATATTATGGTAAATTCTCCCGAAACTTAATGAATTTTCTTAGCAATCCACTCCACTATGCATTAAAATTTACCTAGGGTCTACTCAAATTACTAAGGTCATGTTAGAGAAGATTGCTAAAAGCTATTGGCAATTTGTATTGGAAATTGGTAATGTAACCTTGATAGTATAGACTTGATAGATATTTAGTCAGACACGCCCAGTGTTCATTGATCTGGTTGTTCATTGGAATTGATGGATATCCATTCCATCCTCAAGTACAAACGACAGTTTACCAAGTTAACACTATGGTATTTTATGTAGCAGTAATAGGTGTTATTTTACTACAAAAGGTTCCGTTTATATGCTGTCGCCTGTACATGTGTCCGTCCTTCGACCCGTGGAGTGTCAACGTGTCATCCATCATACTAGACACCACGTTTTGTGTATTGCGGGTAGGTCAATATTGACGACTCGATAAACAATCAATTGACAAACTCACAGGATAAACAGAATTTAAGTAATCACTATTTTTTATAATTACTTACTCGTACTTTTTTATACGTCATCTAAATTAGTCTATCAGACTGTATAAACAGCTTTACTAATGTATGTATGCCTTAGATTAAGTTTTTTTTTATTTTCTTATCTTCGCTGGTAAACGTGTCGATAGTCACAGAATATTTTATGTCACAGGATAAAATCTTGTCTAGTTTTTCATTAATTGAGATAAATCAGTAGTATTCGTTCGTTCGTTCGTTTCAGCCAAATGACGTCCACTGCTGGACAAAGGCCTCCTCCAAGGCTTTCCACAATGCACGGTCCTGCGCTGCCCGCATCCAGGCTCTTCCCGCGACCTTTACGAGATCGTCGGTCCACCTAGTAGGAGGCCTGCCCACGCTACGTCTTCCAGCCCGTGGTCGCCACTCGAGAACTTTTCTGCCCCAACGGCCATCGTCTCTACGAGCTATGTGCCCCGCCCACTGCCACTTGGTTTTAGCAATTCTGCGAGCTATGTCGGTCACTTTGGTTCTCCTGCGGATCTCCTCATTTCTGATTCGATCACGCAGTAGTATTCAGTAGATGTTTATCAGACTTTTACTATCGTGTGGGTTCTAACAACTGAGCTGAGGTCACATTAGTATTGGACATTATGAATGGCCAGAGTCTGACTTGGTAGCTCAATCGGACCTCAACACGGCATTACGAGTTGACGTGACATCCGAAGCACGCGATCATAATCAGAATCCAGAATATTATTATTGATACAAGAATGCAATGTATGAATGAATACACAATGTGATTTTGCAGTACCTACGGCATGGACCTATAAAAAAAGTCGGACGGAGTCTCATCAACAAAATACTGTGACATTAGGATACACCAGCTTGCCTGTACGTACAGGCCGGCACGCACACATTCACACCCTGTTACACCACTTCGAGAGCAAACTTCACACAGTTGACACATTTAAGCAGCGAAAAAACAACACGAATACGACATGTCTTGTGTGATGAAATTGTGTAAAAACCGTTCTGTTCGAACAAACAAAAATTAAGGAATCACATTTCACAGGTAAAATAATAATCCAATCACTTATTTCCCGACATTAAAATATTGAAATTAATTGAAATCAAACGTCATTCACTCGAAAAAATAATACGTCACTGACACACTGACTTGCAAACAATGTAAGAAAATTTGAACATTGAAAATTTCGCGCCTACCTCAACGCATACACCTTTCATCCTTTTAAAATGGCACGGAATAATTCTGTCTACATTTCCAAGTAACATCTGCCGATCTATGTTTTTCTTAAAATAAATGGGTAAAATGTTTTGGCTAACATGGCATCCCTAAATTCACTCACACAATAGACAAACGCCAAAATTTTGCGTCACAGTTTTGTTGTAGCGCGAGTTCCGTCCGCCTTTTTTTATAGGTCCATGACCTACGGAATCGAACCCAGAACCTCTGAGTTGAGAGAGACCAACTACGAATACCGAACCAATGAGGCTTTATTTTATGTGCCGCTGTCCATAAACGCATTGAGTATGTAGCTTATCATAAAATATTGAAATAAGGCCATTAAATAATATTTTTACATTTTAATGGAAATTAAGTAAACATTTTCTTTGCTAGCTTAAAGCTACAATAAAATGTCACGACCATGGTCAGTATTAATTATTAAACTCATGGTCAAACCGTGAAGAATGAGTAATGATGCTCCTGATCAAAATCATACAGCAACAAGTGTCACGTAAATATTTATTGTGTGCTTAATATTGTTAGGAGTTACGTAAACTAAAACTGTTCCGTGCGAGAGTCATTTGTTTGTGACACGACATAACGAGGTAGGTGTGCTCAATGTGTTCATCAAAATAACCAATGTTGCTTTTGAAGGGCATTAATAAGCAGGGTAAAATTATCTTTAAAATTAACATAAATAAGCCGTCTACATTAACTTAGTACCGAGATACGCAGAACAGATTAAACTACACAACTTGTTTTAGAAAAGCTTAGCCGTCTACATTAACTTAGTACCGAGATACGCAGAACAGATTAAACTACACAACTTGTTTTAGAAAAGCTTTGCATGTGGTTTTAATTCTTAATTACTTATGAAAAAACAAACATTACAAGCCGGTTATATTCCAGCCTTCTAGCTACATTCTTTCAAGATAAAATGCAGTTTTACATTAGGATTTAAGTATGTAAGTTCTGGTGACGCCTATTTATGATCTCAAGGCAATATCACTTGCAAGCGATTGCCTTGAGTATTTTAGAAGTAACTAATAATTCCTAGCTACCGTAAAGGAGTGGTTTTAACAATATACACGAAAACGCCAGAATAGAAACTTCATGATGGAATTAGTCTAAGGGAATTTCCCATCCATTAGTTGATTGTGCGCGTTTAATATAACCAAAAGTGGGACGTTAACATGGCTAGCTATAAGTAGGTCAATTTTTATTTTACCTTATATTCATGATTCAGAAAGGTCCTACGAGCTTGTGAAGTATTATCAGACAGTATTATGATGAAATCTGTTTCAAAAATCTTAATTATGTACTCTATCGTGTATCGTGTTAATCACCGTAACGTGGTTATGTAAAAAATTCTCTAGACAAAACTATCCTAAGACCATTAAGAAAATTACATTAATGTACAGTGTGACAAAATTAAATTGTTATATAAAGGTATAACCTATTCACCAGGAGCGTTCACGTGTAACCAAAATGTTCTTTCTTATGAATCTCCTACAAACTGAATCGTACACTTTTCATTAGATCCACCTGACTTCCCCAGTGAATGAGTGCCTTTACGTCGTTCATGGAATCTGTGTGGTTTACGCGTTGGGATCTGTTGTGGAAAATTACAGATTTGTGTGTAAGCGGCGAAGGAAACTGACAATTTCTTTGAAATTTCGTCTAATTTCCTGTGCAATTTGAGATAAATTGAAAAAAAAAAAGATCGTTCTACCATACTCGTATTTGGGTTCCTATAGGTACTTACTTTCATTATAAGTATGGTACTCTGAGGAATGTTTCGGGTATCATGTGGAAAGAAAACATTATTACGCTTATTCTTTTTTTTTTACTATCCCGCGGATTCATTGCCGCAACACTTACCTAAATTCTTGTATAATCGCTTATGCATATGTTATGTCAACATACACTCAACATCAAATAAATCGCACCTTCCGCGACGCGAACTTTTAAAGATTTTCTTCAGACACAATCATGGTACCCCAACAATATTGGTGTTATTTGAAAGCCCAATAAATATCCTTAAAGAAAAATAAATTTCATTTCTAAATAAATGATTAACATATATCTACCATAAATGTGACTTGAAAATAGACCTCACTTTGGGCTCACCTCTGGGATCAATTAGACCAATTTTTATGGTTATAAAACCAAATAAAGATCTCACGTGTCCTCTTTAACAGATGGATAGCGATTAATCCCAACTTAACAGTTTTATAGTCATAAAAAATGGCTATAGCGTAACTACCTATTTTTTGAAGAAGTGACTCTGGATCCTTATAAAGACACATTTTTGTGGTAAAAACCTTTCCTTTAATGAAATGAAGTTTAGAACTAGGCTTTCAAATGGTACCAATGTTGGTGGGAAGTGGGGATGCATACGTTTGATAAGTGCTTGTCGCGGTAGGTGCGATTTATTTGATGCCGAGTGTAGTTTTGAAAGAGAAAAACTTCTTACTGTAACTGCAACTGCACTTTTATGTAAGTATTTTCATATGAAATAGGTTAACGTTATAAATTGTTTAATTATATTTAAATAGGTAGTGCTTGTTACGGTTATTTTACATGTTCAGTGTTTAGTATAATAATGATTGTTTAATTTTGCATGTTTTGTTCACTCGCCATGTATAACTTCGCATTATTGCTGGATGTTATTACGATAGCGGAGGCCATTAAGCTTTATTGAGAAATTAGCAATAATACCATAACACCTGGGGGCATACGCGAAGGGGACTACTCTGGAAAATGGG